TTAAAAAAAAGTTTAAATAGTATTAAAGCAACAATGCACAAAAAAAAAACAAAAATAACACCAATATGAGATTTTTCAAAGAATCCTTGACTATTACGATGTGTTTGAGTGATATTGTAGCTTGGTAATACAGAGTCATAAATTAAAAAAAAAATCATACATTTATTCTTCAAACAGAAAGATAAATAGCCACAGAACATGAAAATAATTTCATACCATGTTACTTATCTAGCTATTTCTAGGAATCAGATATTATGAAACTATAGTTTCTTGTAAAAACAAAGAACTTTTAAGATATGTGCATATCATATAATGGACAGACAATTATTGGAAGGCAGAAAAAAAATTTGTAAGGGTTCCGCGGAACCCAGTGTCTCGCCTACTTTTGCTGTTAATCACAGGCTCAACAAAATTGAGGAAAAAAATTAATAAAAATATCCTCTCTATACTATCTTTTGATTGTAAGTAGCTTCTGTCCAAGTTTGGTAAAAATCCAGGATAGTTTATGAATCTAATAAATGTTTTAAAAACTTAAACTGCAGACTGTTATGTAATGTTAACTGGAAGAAAAACTAAGTCCATTTATAAGTAAAATACGGAAAAAATGGAACAAAATTTTAACAAAATTTCCTTTTAGATACTAGCTCTTAATCATAAACAAGCTTCTGTCCAAGTTTGGTACAAATCCAGGATAGTTTAAGAAAGTTGTTAAAATTTTAAAAACTTTAACCACAGAGTGAATGTAATGTTAACTGGCAGAAAAACTAAGTCCATTTATAAGTAAAATACGGAAAAAATAGATTATTTTTTTTTTTAAATTTACTTCTGGATACTATCTTATGATCATAAACAAGCTTCTTTCCAAGTTTGGTACAAATCCAGGATCGTTTAAGAAAGTTATTAAAATTTCAAAAACTTTAACCACAGAGTGAATGTAATGTTTCCTGGCAGAAAAACTAAGTCCATTTATAAGTAAAATACGGAAAAAATGGAATTTTTTTTTTACAAAATTTACTTTTGAATATGATCTTATGATCATAAACAAGCTTCTGCCCAAGTTTGGTAGAAATCCAGAATAGTTTAAGAAAGTTATTAAAATTTCAAAAACTTTAACCACAGAGTGAATATTTGTGGACGCCGCCGACGACAACGACGACGACGACGCCGACGGAATGTAGGATCGCTATGTCTCGCTTTTTCGACAAAAGTCGAAGGCTCGACAAAAATTAACTATGGATGAAAGAAGATGTTGCTCAATACAGCTTAAGGTAATACATGTAGGTATGTAAATCGGAGACCTCATATATTTTAATGAAATTTTGCAAGAAATTTTAAATGCATGCATTTCTGAATATCAATATAAAAAAATTATATATGTAATTTTTATACTCTCAGAGTAAAATCAATTGATTATCTAGTAGATAGAAATATAAATGTATAGAAAGCATGTAAATATTACAAAAAAATAAGGTTTTTTTTTTTACCCTGTCCTACAACTTTTGTTTCCAAATGAGATGTTATTGTCACAAAAATTTCATTTTCAGTGATAAATTTTTTTTAGCTAGTCACTGAAATTTTATGGTTTTGTATAAATCATTGAAGTGAAAGTAACATATCGGAAAAAAAAAAAGAAAATAAAATTTTGATGCACAATGCTGTCAGAATGTGCACTTACATTTGCCTTTTCAGCTTTTTTAAAATACAACTAATTATACCTTAAAATAGGTTAGAAATTTTATGTCAATACAAAGGAAAATTTCTGTGGCAAAAACTTATATCATATATCTTATATATAATACACTGCACACTTACTCCAACATATAATCTGACTGTCAATACATCATGTATATAAAACAATTATATTTAAAATTGACTAGATAACTTTGGGATTAACAAATATAATATATAGACCTATTATTGACTAACTGATATGAACGAGTCTTCTAAAGAACACAAAGAGCCCTAAAAAACCTTTAACCAAAGCTACAATGAGTTAAATGATTCAGTAAAGGATTTTTATTTTGTTTGTCAAATTGGATAGCAAAAGCTAAATAAAAGTATTTAAAATTAATTATTTCAGACAAATTTAGTTTAATCCATACCATTCCAACTACAAATTAACATTGTTCAAGTGTTTAAATTGATGTTCAATGAATTTTCAGAGGCATAAGGGCATGTGCTTCTGTAAAGAAAAAAACATTTACAGAAATAAACTAAAAAAGGAAAGCCATACTCTATTATATTAATGCAATATGCACAAATAAATCAGATTTTTTTAAATTTTGCAACTGAAATCATAAGTCACTAAGCAGCTTACCAGTTGTTTCCAGGGAAAAGGACATTAAAAGTTTAAATACACATTGACTTCATTCCCAGATTTCATCAATGAAATTTTGGCATAATGTAAAATGTTATTTATTTATACCTATGCAAAAATTTTAAATAAAAAAATGTAAATAACTACAATAATTTGAAACAGAAACTAACATTATATTTTCAATTACTGTAAATTCAGAAATTATTGCGATGTTTTTATTATTGCGAAAAATGCGACAGGGTTGTAATCGCAATAATTTAAACTCGCATTTTGGATTTCTTTAAATGAATGAAGCGGGATTTTTCTCAGAATCGCAAAAATAATAATCGTATTTTGGTCTGAAATGACAAAATCGCAATAATAAATGCACGCAATAATTTCTGAATTTACAGTAAATTAACTTATAGAGTGTGATAAGATTTTGTGAGGGAATTTGATGTTTGTTATACCATGGCTCACTTAAACAGAATGAAATTTGTTGCAGTATTTTCAAAAATGATTTTGCAATGTATCTGTGTATTATATGTTAATAAATTAACGCTTTAAGAAGGTTAATTTTCTGTATAAAGTCAATAATTTTCTCGACTTTTGAAGCCCTAACTTTCTATTGCTTTAAATACACTAATGAGAGATCGAAAAACGATGCATATACAATCTTATAGGTTTTTGAACTTATAACAAAAATTTGGGCGATACGTATTTTGTAGTATTAACAAGAAATTGTATTAAAAAATGTCTCATTTTCTCCTTACCCAATTTACCCATAATACTTTATTTGATATTGACTGGTCATTGTTATTAAATCTTACACAATTCGATTGGATGAAGTCATTATTGCTTCACCTGTTCAAATTTGTCCTGTATGTATTCGACAAGCTCACTAAATTTTATTACGTAACAATAATTATTGTTTATGAAGACAAGGATGACAACTCTAGATACGAAGTTACAAAATCTTTAAGATATTATAAAATTACTCTTGTTTGTCGATATACAACTATGGTTATGGTTCGTCTTTAGTTTTCCGTCCTAATATTGTATTAAAAGGTCAAGTTGAATTTTTATTATTATTTGTTTTTAATAAATACGGTAAAACCAATGTTCTTTAACTACAGACTGTACATATAACAGTCAGTCTTGAGTCAGTGAAGAAAAAAGAAAAAAAGATTAAAGATTAAAGAATATAGAAATGAAGATACCCATCCAGACCTTCATACATAATAAGTCACAATTTAACTTTGCTAGACGTTCATAATCTGAATGCCTTTATAGTATAATTATATTCTGTATATCTGAAAACTGGTTAATTTGCATTTCTTTTAACACAAGTGTGGTTCAAATTGACCATCAAACTGTACACTGGACGAGTTCAAGATATTTTTACTTTTTTACTATTTTTTTGTAATACAGTGAATTTTTACAATATTGAATCACCGCATTCTTCAGAAATTTGAGAAACTTTACAGATCATACAGTTACATTCTTTGAAAAATATATTATTTTGAAGAAAAACATTGTAATATATTTTACGCAAGTCTACGCATGGTAAAAAGCTTGTGCGTTTTAACGGAAAATAGCATTTTTCAGTCTCATTAAGCTGTTATCAGTCCAATTTAATCAAAATGAAAGCAGTGAGTTAATAAAGTCAAAATATGACCAATCTGCCTATTTTTGTACATAAAAAGTCAATTTGATCATTTTAAGGCCAGATTCTTCCACCTCACAAAATCTTGTTACGCACTATAGTACAGACATAACAATCTTATAGAAATAACACATGATGTGCTCGTTTTTGAGATCCTGACCTATTCATGTATAACAACAGCCCAAAAAAAATCTATAGGGATCTTTGATGACAATCTCTTGACTTTCAACAACACGCATAAAGTTTACAGATTATTCCGTTGGGAATTTTGCTATAAAACACCAGGATTATTAAAATACAAGTACTTTCAAAAACAAACAATCATTTTTATCTGGAACAGTTCTAACTAGGGGCAGATCAAAGTGGGTTCCCTTTTTGTAAATCCAGAATCTGCCATTGCTGACAGTCAAAGTTCTACAGTTTTTATGTATTCAATGATCAATCAAAATAAAAGTACAATGCCACAGTGATAATGATACACATGCAAACATAAAATGGCAAAACAATCTGTCAAAATCAACCATCAAGTGATGTAAAAAAATTAGATGTTTATCAGTTTAAGTAAAATAGAAAATTTAACATGCAAAGGAATTCAACTGACTAATCTAGTCCAAAATAACTGAATAGTAATGCACCATTATGATGTCATGCATTGAAGCTATGGTTAAATGATTCATTTTCCTATAAATATATGATTCATTTTATGAAATTTAAAAAAATAAAATAGTTATAGGACAAAAATCATTCTTGATTCCTCAGAATGTTCAGCATCATACAAACATTACATTCACTAACTAATAACAAAAAGATTGATCTCTTTTGACTTTGAATATTCAAAAATTATGAAATGATTTTTGAAACATGAGCTCAAATATTCTTGTTCAATACCTTTTGACACACACATAACAATATACAAAATTAAATGCACAACATGCAATTTGTAAAAAAACAACAACAAACAAAACATATAAAAACAAGACAAAAATATAAATATCAGTTTTATTGCACTTTTTTGAGAAAAAATAAAAATAAAAAATGTAAAGTAAATATGATTCTTTTAATGAAAATCAATTGGCCATCACATTTTAAAAGTCATTTGTCATGCAGTTCAATAGACATTTTCATGCTAATTATGGCAAACGTATTTTTAGTACTTCCTTGATGTAAATACATTTCCCCCCCCCCAAAAAAAGTTAATGTTCATTCAAAGTTTAGTGTGTATATAGCATTTTCCTTGTAGAAGACATGCTTTTAATTTAATGAGAAAAAGGCCTAAACATACAATATAAGTTTTCATAATCTATTCTAACAAAAACAATCTACAAATAACAATGATCTATTAAATATGGTTTTAATAATACATTTGTTCTTTCTATATATTACGCTTAACTCCCAATCAAGCTGTTTGACTAGAATTATTTCCCTTTATGCAAAACTTCAAGGGCTTGTATCTGTGAAGCCATTAAGAAGGAGTTGCACTTACAAGGAGCATGGACAGAAAGACGGACAGATTGAAGTAATTAAGTTTGATTATCTCCCCTCTTACATTTTGGAACAGGATCATAGTCCTTAAACACAAAAGCAAGAACAAAAGTAATCATTGCTAGATTCCTTACTTAAGACAGCCATGTTTCAGATGAACTTTTGTATCAGAATGCATAAGTTTATTAAGATTTTCTCTTTTAATTTAAATATGCAGTACCTGAAGAGAAATTTAAGGTTCGTAAAAGGCACTTTAAAATTTGTTCCCTACCAATAATAATTGTACTGAATGAAAGATCTAAGAGAAATGGTAAACTTTCATAGGGTACAGTAGGTACTCCTATTTTTCAAATTCTAAAGGCTTCTTTTTATAGTTATAGACAATTTCATTAGTAAAATATCAACATTAAATGACTATAAGTGAATACAAAATGTTTAACCTATAAAATTACAGGACATTAAAAACATTTAAACATCTCATAATCTATGCATTAAGCAATCACTAAGAATGACTTAAACCCTTGACTTAGAAGGACAGTGTTAAAATTGATTTCTTTAAAATATTTATCAATTTATACATATTTTTAAAGGTTTTATATCTTATAACCTGTGGTTTGCTCTTTCAGTGATATTTATGGTTAAAAATCTATAAGGACATCAAAGTTCTTTGCTCTTCTCCAGTTTTGACTTAGTGATAGCAATTGTGACCAGTTAAGCTGGCATTACAAACACACAAAAAAACAAAGATTTTTGTAAATATCCTGAAAAATCACCACAATAACTATACAACAAGTAGAGGTCAAAATAGAAACAGATCAGTAGTCTCCATTACTGACAGAATATTTTTCATATATCAAAATTCAATAATTAAAAGAATCATTTCATTGGAGAAATATCATATTCAATTGTATGAAGTAGCACTGATGATCCGATTAAAATCAGACCTTTCAATTTGCTCTGTTAGATTTGTTAGTTGCTCCATGTAAGATCTAAAAACATCCCATTAGAGGTCATGTTCAGTGATCTTTAAGCATCCAATAAAAACTTTCCCTTCATAATTTGCAGTATTTTTTACTGTGGACTATCAAACATATTGATAGGTAAACTGTGAAATATTTCTGAATATAGTAGGGAAATTCTGTGTTCATACCATTTAATTTCCTGTCGTCTTTCTGATTTCATGCACTGACCTGATTGTTAATGTTCCTCAACTTAACAATGCAGTTTCATTGTTTTGTTCATTTTCTATATTGTACATCATTAGTAATCATGTCACTTTGCTTGATTGGTTTTAAGAAAATATGCAAACAATTTCATCTGAGCATGACCAATTACGGAATGTTTTCAGATCTTACATGAAGGGATAAACAAATCTTACAGAGCAAAGTAAAGGATATGATTTTGATCAGACTGTTGCATTGACAGAATCCATTAAACTTTGTCTTAATGACTTCCAACTCAAATGGTACATTCAAAAAATATATATAACACTTTTGACAACAATTAAAATAGATTTGACTATTAATTCACATTTATAATTAACACAAGTTACTTTTCATTTTTTGATATGTTGCTAGAAATACTGATAAATGATTTGCTGACAAAACTCATAATGTCACATCATTCATGTACCTGAACAACATAACAAAAACTGGTGTGCATAAACAAAAAAAGCTTGTAAGTGATTGTCAAAGTCAAATAGCTTTATGCTGTAAAATAATGGTCAACTCAACATTTCAAAAGTTTCATGTTTTATCATATGTTACATTGTTACAATTCTTATCAAGGAATAAACAAATTTACCTTCACTGTCAAGAGTAAGAATTTAATTTTTTCTAGGGGTGATGTTTTAAATTATAACCTCTGGTCCCATTTTTCATTTCTCTAATTTCAAAGGACAAGGTTCACTTTAGGCCAAATATTGCCTTGAATTTCAACTTTATCATAAAATTTCAAAATAGCTATAATTTGGTTCTTAAATAGATCTTTTTTCAAAACCTTACTTCTTTCTTAAAATAAAACTCTTCATAAGAGTTCATTCTTGGCTTCAGAATCAGCACATTTTGGATATATTGTCAAAATACGATGATTTTGTGCATTTTTCGAACCTAAGCTTGAGGAATTCCTTGGCCGCAACCTCAGGATCCAAAATGTTCAGTAATCAAAAGTTGCCAATGATGATATTGAATCCCTAAGCACAAACTCTTTCTGGATCGTGGGTGGCGGCCAAAGTAAATTATGCAAAAAACTGTTAAGAATTATTGAAAATTTGACCAAAACTGACGTTATAACACAAATAGTGCGTACTTCAGGAGTCAATACTTTGTCATTTTTAATGTGATCTACCAAAATGAAGTTGTTTTGTGTTAACAGTAATATCGCAACTATTCCTATGTGAAATTTGTAAATGTTTGGCCCGATTAAATAAACTGCTTCGCTGAGCGCAGCTGGATACGCCTGCAGAGGTCCAACCCTGAACAGTTGGCAAAAATGGACACAATATTCAAGCTTGATACAGATCTGAATTTGGATTGTATTAAATATTTGACATATTATAGGTTTCTGAATAAATGTCGTCAAAGAACTTGAAATTGTTTATATGAATTGAATTTATATTCAATTAAAGATTTCTTGCTGTTGTGCAATACACTGTGCTGTTGCGCAATACTTAGTATATCTGTTGTCAAGACTATAAACAAATAAAGTTCAATTAATTCTCAGTCATATTAGAAATTTATGAAAATGTAAAGGGAGCTTACATCAATAGATATAAACAATTCACTAAAGTTTCATGAGAATTGCTGACAGCATTTTTGAGTTATTGTCCGAAAACTGGAAAATCCCCCCTTATTTAATGAATAAATCCCCATAACTCAGAAATGTAAAATGTAAAATTTATAAAATTCTAAACGGAGCTTACATCAATAGATATAAACAATTCACCAAAGTTTCATACAAACTGCTGAAAGCATTTTTGATTTTTTGTCCAAAAACTGGAAAATCCCCCTTTTTTTATGAACAAAACCCTGTAACTCAGAAACGTAAAATCTAAAATATATAAAAATCGAAAGGGAGCTCATGTCAATAGATATAAACAATTCACCACAATTTCTTGCAAGTTGGTGAAAGCATTCTTGAGTTATTGTCCGAAAACTGGAAAATCCCCCTTTTTTTAATGAATAAAACCCCCATAACTCGGAAACGTAAAATCTAAAATTTATAAAAAATGAAAGGGAGCTGATGTGAATAGATATAAATAATTCACCAAAGTTTTATGCAAATTGGCTAAAGTGTTTTTGAGTTAATGTCCGACATGGTGGCGATAGACGGACGGTACGACGGACAACGGTATACCATTATACGTTCCGTAAACGGGCGTATAAAAACCATAAAAAATTTAGGGCCGATTTTAGACCTTCGTGAACCTTCTCCTTTTTGGTGATGAATGGACTACATTTAACAATAATCACTGAAAAATTATGAATTACAACAAATCATGATATTGTGACTTTTACAATCACTCAAGCTTTTTCTTTATCAAAATCATCCTGGTTGTCTTTCAGACATTTCTACATCACTGAAGGAATGTTGTGAATCTTCTATTGCCTCTTCATAACTAGGTGGTGCCTCATTTTCATCAGGACTTACAACCGGAACAACTACAGGGGGCTCTATACAACTGGTATCTGTAGCTTCTGTATAAGATGGGGGCACACTTTCTTCTTGGTCTGGGTCCCTATTATGAATATACAGAAAATCAAATTCTAGTTGCATCATGCATATATACTTGACCTACAGAGTGAGGAACACCAAGGTTTTGAAAAGTACCACAATATATATTAACTAGAGTGAACTCACAAAAGGGTACTTACTGCCTTACAAGAGACTATTACAAAATATTGCATTATTGAAGTAAGTCAATTAGATTATCTCCCCTTAATATCTGGGACAGTGATTATGTCTCTAAGCACATCCTCATAAAGTGTTCTACAACTTAATCAGTATCCAACTATTTGTATTAGAGGAGTTGTGCTTACGAGAGACTATTACCACATATTGCAATATTGAAGTAAATAATTTTCAGTTATCTCCAATTTAACATGTGAGAATAGGATTATGTTCCTTTAAGCACATCCTCCAGGCAGTGTTCTTCATTTGTGTGAAGTTTCATCAATATCCATCTAGCCATTAAGGAAAGTTGAGCTTACAAGGCACACAGACAGACAGACAGATGAATGCACAGCGTAATTCCTATGTACCCCAAAACTTTGTTTGAAAGAAATTTAGAAAGTCAAAATTGTTCAATTCTTTGAAAATTAATAAGATTCAAGATCATGAATTTTTGGAAACTGGTAATATGTGAAGAGTAACAATATTCTACGGAATTACATCAATTAGTATCCTAAGCTTTCTCATTAATTTTGTTGAAAACATGATATTAAAGGGAATTAACTTAATTCATGTTTTTAACCTATAACATGAAATCAAACAGACATAGAAAAATCCAATTGCATGAAGTCGCTATCTATTTATATTTATGTTTATGTTTATATCGTGTTATGTGACTGTCAGTAGTTTTTTGGAGGTCATCTCGATAGTTAATTAGATGGCATCTAGACTAAAATACACACGAAATTCTGATATATATTATCTAGTATATGCATTGTTAACTGTTTATTTCAGACTTATTATAATTTGGATATGTGTTTTATTATGTTATAAATCAAATATGAGAATTTGAGTCAAATCGGTGAACAAGATTTTGACAGCTAGTGCCCCTTTAACAGATAGGCCATCATTACAATAAGATGATAAACACATTTGCATTCACACTGCACTTGCTTCATACTAACAACCTTTTATTAGCAATGGTCGTAAAATTTTGATCAGCTTGGAAAGATGATTTCAAACTACAACTTGGAAAAAACATTTTTGCCAATTGGTATTTCAAAATGACAAAGCCTTTCAAATATGCACAATGAATAAAAATTCATGCCATATCTGTCTATAATGCTCAAACATAACAAATCTGTAGTATCAAGAATCATCCTTTTGAATGCACTTTTATTAGAAATGCTAAGACCAAAGCAAAAAACATAAGCTAAGGGAGTTGTTAACATCAGACCTCGTAGTATAGTTGTTAAAACATCTTCGTCCTTTGGTCTCTTGTGAAGAGTTATCTCATTGGCAATCATACCACATCTTCTTATTTTTATATGGTAAAATGGCAAACTTTATCAACTGAAAATTTACCAAAAATAAATATGCTATAAGTATAAGGTACAAGCAGTGGTAATACAATGACAACAGGATGAGATTAAAAGCAATGGTAAAAACCAAAAGGTAGTAAATCCATGTAAAAAATACCAGCCTCTCTTTTCATAAAAACAAGAGTGCACACGCTGAAATGTCTCGCCTGCTATACTGACCATTAATTTTATGTTGATAGTCCTAAATATAAAGTTTCGCCTGCTATACTGACCATTGATTTTATGTTGATAGTCCTAAATATAAAGTTTTACTACAAGTATCACATTAACATTTATGATCCAAGAAAATGAGGTCAAGGTCAGATAAACCAAATCGGAAATTATACATGTACACCTTTAATACAATCATTCCATACTCCGAATATAGATGACCTTTTGCTTATTGTATAAAAGAAACAGACCAAATCATGGAAATCCTATATTGACCAATGAACCATGACTTATGAGTATTTTTTTTCTCCTGAACCTATTTCAGACAAGTTTAACAAAAAGTACTTTTCTGATAATGCTTTTTTAAAATTTTTTATAGGTGTCAAAAACAGAAACAATTTCAACATAACCAAAACTTTCCCCGATAGTTTAAAGACCAAACAGCCTATTGTTTGTGCACATTAGCTAATGCAACTTGATTGTGACATGAAAGCTTTATGATGTTTCCAGCTTGTCAAACAGCAGCAGATTAGAACGTCCCATTTCGCGTATTTCACAGATTCCAATATGACGTATGCATCAAAAATTGAAATTGAGCGCCACAAATAGCTAGTGAAACATTTCTTTTATTCTCCTGTCTGAGTTGGGACGTATTATGGTATACTGTAGTCCATCCTTGATTCTGTCTGGCCATCAATACTACAGTGGGGAAGGAGTGGACTTAAAAATATGCTGGGGCAAATTTTTGAAAGTGAGGAGCAAAAATAAACCCTAACGCTTCTAAAGTCTAATATACTATAGTCCAATTACTCCTATCTGAGACTACTATAACACATATATTAGTCTCAGGTCCAATAGTCTAGAAGATAGTCAGTGTCATCTTTTATTTTCATTTTTTTTTTGTCCAATAATTTTGTCAAAGAGAAGGAGGAAGCTAAATTAAACTTTACTTTTCGAAGCGGAGTAGAAGGTGCTTTCGAACAATTTTACATTCCAACGGAAGGTGTTTCTAACGGCTAATATTGTATGGCAACAGAATGAGATTTGACAAATACTGATACATAAATGTAACCTCTTGTATCACATGATAATAAAGAAGCTGAATATTGTTGTTATAATTGAAACTTCAAATGTGGGTTTAAAACGTCTAATATGTGATTTTTGTGAAAATTGCGAAAAACTTGTACAATGACGTCTGATTCAGTGTTCTGAAGAAAGAAAACTCTTTTCTTAAAAACAAATGAGTAAAAACATGAAAATTACTAATAACCTTTTTGAAAGGTTGGTGACAATATACTTTTTGGGGCTTTTGAGTACACAAAGCACTTTCCTTCTTGAAATATTATGAAGAAATCACTGGTAGATAATTTGTGATATTAGAAACGTTTTTCATTCTTATGTATTATTTTTGGGCGGAATGAAATAATTATACTTTTTAAGATCAAAACACCAAAAATCTTAAATTCTAGAATCTTTAATTGATACACACAAATCTTCTGTTTAACGTGAAAAAAGAATTATGCTTGTAGGTTTGATATTATTCCATTATTTGAGTTTTTAAAAAACAACCAAATATTGTTCATATTGGGGGGAAAAAACACGAAACTGAGGTTGCTATAGTGACAAAACGAAGTTGGTGACCCCCAATTTTTTTCATCATATTTTGTTCCCAAAATTATGAAATACGTTCAAACAAAATTTAAAGAAAAAATCACTGGTAGCACAGAATAGGCTGTTTGATCTTTATAATTAAGAAGGGATTAATTCATAAGTTACATGTTGTAGTGACTGATTTTTCTGTACTTACCTCCAAGCATTTCTGAATTGCAGACTATCCATTATAACTGTAATAGCACCACCTTCTCCATTGTCTTCTTCTAAAACAACTCCTACTGTCTGAGAATTAAAATTCTGTAATAATTAACATTGAATCTATAGCTTGCAATTTCACATACTCTGACCATGCTTACAGTCACATTACTCAGAACATATGGTAAATGGCATCCGGTGACGGCAGGGGGCATAAAAAAACAAGTAGATTGATGCAAATATCTATGAAATTTATTTCAAGAACTAGTTATATGAATTTAAAAAGTATGGGTACCAGGTGATTATAATTGCTTTCTGATGAAACAAAGATATGGAGTCAAGTGATTGGGAAAGAAAATTTAAATTGGCTATTTTGCCACATAACAAAAGATTTTTATGACCCAGTGTACTATATCTTCTCTTAAAAATATTGAAATCTGATGAGCAATTCTGCAATTTCAAAGGTCATCAACTGAAAACTATGTATATCAAATAAATATGGTCAATGGAACCTGCCTTTCCCAGTCACTGCCATTGTCTAAACATTGTACAAATATACTTTACATCACACTTGTCAATTCAAATTTCATGCAACAAATCATTAATTTGAGCACTGATTCATGTATTTGCATTTTTTAGCCAGGGGTGGATCCAGAAATTTAGAAAAGGGGGGGAGGGGGGCAGATCCAGAAATCGTGATAAACATGATATAAGTATTTTTTTGGCGATCAAAAGGGCCCCTGTACTCTCAATGGATCCACCACTGGTAGCTCACTTGAAATACCGTAAAATCCTATATTTGTTGGATATCTCACCTGTTGTTCATTTCTACTTTGGGCTATATGTTTCTTTGCTTGTACAAATCTCTGGATAGCAAGGAGTATTAATATGAAGGCTAAACCTAGAAAAACTGGTCCTGTTACTCTGTTGCCAAATATATCCTTGAAGGCTAAAACCAAAAAATCATACATTTTTAAATGTTGTATCATGGCATACTAGTCTTTCAGTACTGGAAAACTTCTTAAATAATGCATTTGAAAACCACAAGTGGGTTTTTCCACTCTATGAAACTTTAAAGTTATGCTTGAAAAGTAAGACACAGTCAGACAAGTATGATATCCACTACTTATACTAAGTACATTTACTTTGGTTTACTGGAAATTACAAAAATGAGGATTTGAAAGAAGTCATTACAAAAAAAGCCATATCCTTTGTTTTTCTATTTGTTGAATGACAATTTCATATTCCTGAACAATCAGTATAAACAAATTCTCAACTATCCTCTCCACTTTATTGTTTATGTAATTACATGTAACTGTAGTGTTTGATTGATTGGTGATGAATGCCACTTTCACTACTATTGTGTTATTTGTGGCTACAGTTTTTTGTGGTGGAGGAAGCCAGAGTGTCCGGAGAGAACCAACAACCTTCAGTAGGAAAACTTACAAAGGTAACTTTACATTAGCAAATATGTTTAGTACTGAAATCTTTATGTCTTTTAAGTATAATGTGTTGCTGATTCAGTAACATACATGGTACAGCATACAACTCCCTATATTTATGTACATGTAAAACAAAAATAAGTATGAATAAAAGGAGAAATTGGGTAAATATCAATGAGAAATGAGAAAATTCTAAAAAAAAAATCCATAGATCCAAATTGATATCATTGCAGTAATTTTTCATTGCAACTACATGTAGACATAACTTACCAAGCCAAGTTAGTATACTGCCAACCAAAATAAATACAGCGGCCACAGTACACAGAATTATGGCTCGATGTAATGTCTGTTTTCTATGTTGTACAAGACCAAAAAATGTGTGTAATCCAGACCTGGTGTTATGAGCTCTAGCCACACCAGAACGTGAGTGAAACATAATAATGACACTATTTGTCTGCATTAAGTCCTAAAATAAAACATAATAATGACACTATTTGTCTACATCAAGTCCTAAAATAGAACATAATAATGACACTATTTGTCTACATCAAGTCCTAAAATAGAACATAATAATGACACTATTTGTCTACATCAAGTCCCAAAATTGAACATAATAATGACACTATTTGTCTGCATCAAGTCCTAAAATAAAACATAATAATGACACTATTTGTTTGCATCAAGTCCTTAAATAGAACATAATAATGACACTATTTGTCTGCATCAAGTCCTAAAATAAAACATAATAACGCCACTATTTGTCTACATCAAGTCCTAAAATAGAACATAATAATGACACTATTTGTCTGCATCAAGTCCTAAAATAGAACATAATAATGACACTATTTGTCTGCATCAAGTCCTAAAATAAAACATAATAATGACACTATTTGTCTGCATCAAGTCCTAAAATAGAACATAATAATGACACTATTTGTCTGCATCAGGTCCTAAAATAGAACATAATAATGACACTATTTGTCTACATCAAGTCCTAAAATAGAACATAATAATGACACTATTTGTCTGCATCAAGTCCTAAAATAGAACATAATAATGACACTATTTGTCTACATCAAGTCCTAAAATAGAACATAATAATGACACTATTTGTCTGCATCAAGTCCTAAAATAGAACATAATAATGACACTATTTGTCTGCATCAAGTCCTAAAATAGAACATAATAATGACACTATTTGTCTGCATCAAGTCCTTAAATAGAACATAATAATGACACTATTTGTCTGCATCAAGTCCTAAAATAGAACATAATAATGACACTATTTGTCTACATCAAGTCCTAAAATAAAACATAATAATGACACTATTTGTCTACATCAAGTCCTTAAATAGAACATAATAATGACACTATTTGTCTGCATCAAGTCCTAAAATAAAACATAATAATGACACTATTTGTCTACATCAAGTCCTAAAATAGAACATAATAATGACACTATTTGTCTGCATCAAGTCCTAAAATAAAACATAATAATGACACTATTTTTCTGCATCGTCCTTAAATAAAACATAATAATGACACTATTTGTCTGCATCAAGTCCTATAATAGAACATAATAATGACACTATTTGTCTGCATCAAGTCCTAAAATAAAACATAATAATGACACTATTTGTCTGCATCAAGTCTTAAAATAAAAAAAGAAATATATACACAGTCACATCAAGAAATTTAGGACCAGTATTAGAACATGAAGCAAAAGATTCTTTATTTTGAGGTATGTTCTTGTTTATTTTGCCTTTATAAACATTTATTTGCAAATATACTTTTATTAAAATCCTAAATTTACAGTAAAAACTCTGTTAACTACATGCACAACAAAGAAATCACTATCTATTGTTGATGTAAATGGGATTACAGACTTAAAAAGTTAACTGTTGTAATGATCATGACAAGTTAGCTACATGTATTTCGCAATCAGATTTTTTAAATAATAATTTTAGAGGGGCCTGTTTCTGTTGTTTTCTCTACCTGTGAATATCTGAATATCAAATTAAAGTTCACTAAAAGTGCAATAAAAGCTGTCATGGTTTAACCAATAAAGTAAAAGGTTGATTTTATATATATTACAGATGAAATTAGTTTTTTTCTTTAAAAAACAGCTGTGCAACTTATAAACTAGTGAGACTTAAAAAATGGAGAATATATACTAATTAAAGGAGTGATGGGATGGAAGATAATTTAAGTAAGTGATTCAGTAAAAATATATTTAAGAGATACTGTATTGTATTTGAAGCTTGGCCTACGTAAAACGTGGGTTTTACTGTCGCAAATTAAGTTTACCTAGTGACACATAGCAGAGCTGGTAAACAGATATTTGCAACTATAAAACCAAGTTTTACTTAAGCCAAGCTTTAAATACAATACGGTTATCTCAATTCTAATGCAAAATAAACAAATTAGTTCATTTCAGTCATTATTTTGGTGTAAAATTTCATAAAACAAAAATTCTGCGAAATGATGTTATCGCCTTTGGCAACTAAACGAATGTATGCTTCCAGTGTCAAATATAAACACCGGCCGTTTTCAGGCTTCTTATACGCCTCAGAATGTAATGTAATTAGATAAAAGGAACATTTTTAGGTGATAAATGTGAGTTTTTTAATTTGAAGGAAACCAGTATTTATTTGTGGAGGATGACAGGGTACTCATAGAGAACCATGACCTTTGGCAGGAAATAAACACAATTAACATACGAAACAACATAGTCAGTGTTTTACCTGGGACATTTTAGAATCATTTTACCCTGACATTTAAGTTTTCCGCTGACCCTATCATTAGATTTTATTATATAAATCTAATTGAATATCACAAACTTGACTGACAATTAAATAACTTCATTGTAAGTATAGTGTGAACTTTTTTGTAATGGTATTAAACATGGGAGACAATACAATATATTGTACTTACTTTACTCACACAAACATTTTTAAATCAAAATCAATTCAGTTATATATAACACAGTTTCCAGTTTAGCAATTCCATCTCTGCCATGATAGATTTTAAGGCATGAATCTAAAGACCTGTAAATAATCAAATTATCATTGTTAAGTCTGGTAATTGTACATACTACTGTGTGCACAACAGTTTAGAATTAACTTTTCATGAATATTTTCGTCCTCAATATGCATGTAATATATTTCCTTCTTGACATTTAGTAGCCATCATAATCATGATAATCATGATAATAAAGTTATGCAAGTCTTATGTCTTAAAGAAACAAACGATTGCCATTTACATGTACCAAGAAATACATATATATCATAATGAAATACAAAATTCAAATTTCAATCACTGAAAATTGATACACTGTACCATATTTTGGGAATAATACACATAAAAGTGAATAATCCCCATTAAGTGACGAGTCTGGTTAATCTGCTTGTCTGGAAAATCTGCTCCCAAAAAAATCATATTTGTGTCATTATTGTTTGTGATGTAAAATGATGTCTGCCTTAGTTTTGATCAACTTCAAGGAAATATATATAGCCTTTATTAACAGGTATACAAAAAATTATTTCAATAGAATAAAGAACTCATTTTCTTTTTTCATATTAATAGTAAATCTTGTATTCTTAGATGAACTATAAAGCATATGGAAATCATGCTGTTCAAATATTGACATTTACTATACATGTATGTGTATCTATTACAAAAAGGGTTGACATATAGGATAGTTGTCTCATTGGCAATCAAACCACATCATCCTAATATAATAATGAGCTTTGTAGAGACAGGGGTGTGGAAATATTTGTTTTGTGCACTTGTCCACAGTCAAGTGAATCTATGAATTGTACTTGTCCAAAAGAAAAGTATCTTCCCTAGAATTTCTCAATGAATCTTGAATGAAGTATTACACTGTACGTAAATTTGTATGGTTCTAAAACTGTTTTGAAATAAAATTTGTTTTTATGTTGGTGTTTTTAAGTGAATAAATATGAGATGAAGCATTTAAATCAATGAGATACATGTAGCAACCCTACAACAAAACAGCCCAAAAACATATAGATGGCACTTGCAATGTTTTTCAATGTTACATTTAGGTTATGTGTACTAAGTTTTGAAGTCAATGAAGAGATAACCAAATAGGTGATCAAATATTGAATTGCAATTTGCCTGTGAAAAATAACTTTGGTCAAATAATTGTGAATGTTTTCATACAAGTAGGTTACATCAATTTTATAATTCAAAGTCTTTTCATTGGATAGCAAGGGAAAATAAGAAAACCAAAGGATTTTGAAATTCTTTCGTCCGTTTTTTTTTTCATTTGCCTTTTTGGCGGCTGGGCCTGTGTTTTTATTCCTTAGATCCCATATCATTTATTTCTATTTTATCAGACTTTCCCTGTCTGTATTCATTTAACGTTCAGAAAACAGCAATCAATCAACCATTCTCAACCTGTTTGGTTCATATAAAAAATTAATAATTACATTTCTGGTGCATCTTAGAATAAAATCTGATTGCTAATCCTAATCAACTGACCATGATAATATAAGATTTATGAAACTCAGGTGTACATACTAAAGTTTTTCTGTTTGTATATATGTTGATCATTTTTAGATTAAATTGGGTTGTTCTCGTCTTGATCATTTATGTTTTTTACTTGAATTTGTTGAGCTCGTTCTGATCATTGACATTTTTTTACTTTAAATAACATCTCAAACAATTAAAATAAATCTAGAGAATTTTTCTATATTTTGTTTTTATTTTGAAGTAAAATTTTCTAGGGAACCAAGACAAAAAAATCTACTTGAACAGTATTCACTGGTATTAAGCTCCAACAAACATGAAGAACCAATCAAACTACCATGGACGAGGGTGGTAATGGGGGTACCTTCATGACGAATAACGGTAAAAAATCTTGCCAAATGACGTTAACGGTAATTTTTGGTGCATTACGACAAAAGAAGACTTTCTTCAAGACGATAAAAAAATCGACAGATTTTGACGAACCACGTTAATTTTTTTCCAAAAATTACGGTAACGATAATTATTTGAGACCTCTGACGTATCACGTTAGGATATGTTGACGAATCGCGGTAAAATTTGAACCAATTTGACGCTAACGGTAGCCGAAAATGACCGTTTGACGCCTGACGGTAAAGGGCATTCATACCCTCATGGACAATCCTGAAATTTTAAATTAAGGTTTTCCTGTTGTTATATTCAAAGAAACTTTTATAAATATCTAGTTATTGGGTGATTTATTTTAATGGTGGTCTCCATTAAAAACATTGTTACAAAATTAAGGAGATGTGGTATGATTGCCAATGAGACAACTATCCACCATAGTTCAAATGACAAAAAAATAAGCAATTATAGGTATTAAACCACATATACATGTAGCCTTCAATAGTGAGAAAAACCCAAACTGGGTCAGCTATAAAAGGCCCAACATGAAAAATGTGAAACAATTCAAAGGAAAAACTAACGGCCTGATTTATAAAAATACAATATTTAAAAAAAACAGTGAGTCATGACTATATGACAGACATGAACCATTGACAACTACTGAATTACAGGCTCTGGATTTGGGACGGGTTAACAAAGAATGTTGCTTGGTCAAACATGTTTGTGAGTGCTCACACCCTCCCCCCAAACCTGAGATAGTGGTGTAACAGCATAACATAAGAACAAACTTTAACAAGAGTGCACACGCTGAAATGTCTCGCCTTCTTTACTAATCACTGATATTATGTTGATAGTCCTTAATATAAAGCTTTATTACAACTGTCACATAAACTTAACATTAACCAAGAAAACTAAACATTGACCAATGAACCATGAAAATGAGGTCAAGGTCAGATGAACCATGCCAGGCAGGCATGTACAGCTAACAATTCTTCCATTAAACAAATATAGTTGACCTATTGCTTATAGTTTAAGAAAAACAGACCAAAACACAAAAACTTAACACTGAGCAATGAACTGTGAAAATGAGGTCAAGGTCAAATAAAACCTGCGCGACTGACATATAGATCATAAAATATTTCCATACACCAAATATAGTTGACCTATTGCATATAGTATTAGAAAAAAAGACCAAAAATCAAAATCTTAACTTTGACCACTGAACCATGAAAATGAGGTCAAGGTCAAATGACACCTGCTAGCTAGACATGTACACCTTACGATCATTCCATACACCAAATATTGTAGACCTATTGCATACAGTATAAGAAAAACAGACCAAAACACAAAAACTTAACTATAACCACTGAACCATGAAAATGAGGTCAAGGTCAGATGACACCTGCCAGTTGGACATGTACACCTTACAGTCCTTCCATACACCGAATATACTTGACCTATTGCTTATAGTATCTGAGATATGGACTTGACCACCAAAACTTAACCTTGTTCACTGATCCATGAATTGAGGTCGAGGTCAAGTGAAAACTGTCTGACGGGCATGAGGACCTTGCAAGGTACGCACATACCAAATATAGTTATCCTACTACTTATAATAAGAGAGAATTTAACATAACAAAAAATGTTAACTTTTTTTTCAAGTAGTCACTGAACCATGAAAATGAGGTCAAGGATATTGGACATGTGACTGACGGAAACTTCGTAACATGAGGCATCCATATACAAAGTATGAAGCATCCAGGTCTTCCACCTTCTAAAATATAAAGCTTTTAAGAAGTTAGCTAACGCCGCCGCCGCCGCCACCGCCGCCGGATCACTATCCCTATGTCGAGCTTTCTGCGACAAAAGTCGCAGGCTCGACAAAAATCAGTTGGGGCAACTTGACAATGGCTTAACTCTATAAAGCAATATGAAGAAAAAAACCCAAGTATTGTGGATTAATTATTATTCGTCAGATACCCATTTTTTAGATTTTCATCAGTAAACATAGACTACAAATTTAAGTGTTCAACATCATACACATTTTCTGAAGGCATTGTATACACATTTGGGCATGCGCAAATCAACAAATCAAATATCCACGAAAATACAAGTTTGCCTAAATCAACGAAAATTGGTACTCATGAAAATAAATGAATAAACAGTAAAATAAAAACAATATTCACATTGTACCGATTAAAGAGTACTTGCAGTAATACTGACAGCTATTTAGCCTTCTTGTTTTGTATATTTTTGGATTGTTTAAAGGGGCATTAGCTGTCAAATTCGTGTTCACCTATATATATATATTCATGCTATTTGACTCAAATTCTCATATTTTATTTATAACATACTTCAACGTATATCCAAATTACAGAAAGTCTCAAATAAACAATTAACAATGCATGGACTCGATAATATGTATCAACATTTCGTTTGTATTTTTGTCTAGACGCCATCTAATTAACAATCGAGATAACCTCAGAAGATTGCAGACGAACATATAACCCGGTATAAACATAAATAAAAATATAACATGCAATTGGATTTTTCTATGTCTGTTTGATTTCATATTGTAGGTCAAAAAGTATGTTTATCATTGTTTTTACCTGAATAAGAATGATTTTATTGTGGATCGAATCAGTCAACCGAATGGTTCATCCTTGTTTCACTTTCAATATTGACATTCTTTTCCTTTTAATACCTGAATACATGCATACCCATCGCCAGCTAAGGGGTTAAATTGAAGTTCACCTAAATACAGATTCAATGAGGTCAAATTATTCACTTGCAAGTGAATAATTCATCAGCGATGTTTCTTAGCGTATTTGGCAAAATTGAACAAATTGGCTGCTGAAAGCGAATTATCATTTCAATATTTCACTTTCATTAATGATTGAACAAAAAAAACATCATATCTAATTTTTTTTATTCACATGTATCTCTTAGGCCAAAAACAAATATATGCCTGTTTACGGTTTATACCCGACCAACTCTACTTTTGAGCGCCGACCCTTAGTCATTTTATTTCTGTCGTAAAGTGAAAAATAAACTGAACTCGTGTCAAAAGCGAAGTTAGTGTTGCCAATAATATAAATCAATAGCCTGATACATCCCAATGTTTACAATTGTGAATATGACAGCTATTTTAAGGAAATTCGCAACTCGTGTG